ACTGTTCTTCTGGCCACTCCAGGCTGGTCTGCTCGTCCTTTCAAGTGGGAATTTCCCATCTCTGAAGATCTGGATGTGGTTCAGGCTTTCCCTTATAGTCTTATGTATTGCAGAGGCTCTGCAGGAAGCCTTCTTCACTGGGCATGTTGTAGCCCCATTTTAGGTATTCCAATTAGTTATAGGCAGAAGATGGACTTACAAGCTTTCTATGGTGATGTTTCTGACTAGTCCTTTCTCTCCCCCTCCAGTGTCTATTTTATAATATAATGCAAGGGAAACCAAGATTCAAAAGACAGCCAAGCATCTTAACATTATTCCCCCCTTTTCCCCATTCCAATGTCTTGGATGTTCTCTTGGTACCCAGCTGTTCAGGGCAGGGAAAGCCTCTGGTTGTGGGGTGGCTGTGTTTTCACACAGGTAGCAAAATGATCAGCAGCCTTGGGCTGCAAGACTCCTGTCACAGACGGCAGCTTTTCTGCAGTGGTGCCATCAGGCCCCATAGACCCAAGAAGGAAGAGCCATTTGCAGGTGAGCCTGCTAGCCCCAACTTTGAGCTAGGAGCAGTGAAGAGGCCCATGTTAGGCGTGCACCCACAAGGCCTGTGGACCCCTCTCCTGCCGTGTAGCCAGTGCTGCTCCTGGGTGACTGTGCAGACGTATTTGTCCTCTGAATCACATCCCCTTGGCCATGCCTGAAGAGCCATTTCTCCCTCGTTCTCATTACTCTCCAGCGAAGAATCAGGACTCTGCCGGTCCATCCACTCCTGCCAACTGCAGGTGGGCACTTGCCTCTGAGCAGCCAAGCACTTTAACTCATCCACCACCATGGCTGCCGATGCCGTCCTCACTGTCCCGTCATTTTAGATAGGCCAGCCACTGTCACACTCTAGAATTTAGGCTGAGGATCACAGAGCACCACACATCTGTGCATACTTATGGCCTTGAGTGCCATGCAGAGAGGAGCTGCAGCTTCGCCAGAACCCAGGGCACGAGTGCATGGCTGCCTGTGGTTAGCTCAGCATCCTCTGTGTGTTGCCAGTTGTGCACAAGGATGCTGGCTGTGGGCAAACTTGGAGCAGGAAGTGTGCTGCTTGGTACTTGAATCTTTTATTTTCCTTTTTAGTGGAAGAAACACTGGTTTGTCCTGGCCGATCAAAGCCTGAGGTACTACAGGGATTCAGTGGCTGAGGAGGTGAGTTTCATCGGTTACCCTCTGTTGTGAGGACAACTGAAGGGTCCAGACAGCTCCAGAGGCCTTGAGATTCCCAGCTCTCTCCCTGTTTGTCTGCAGATGAAGTACAGAAAGCTTTCCTCCAGTCATGAGGCATCTGTCTTCCCTGGTTGTACTTTGAGTGTCTTCCAACCTAAGAGGCTCATCTTCTGGCACTATATCTAACAGTGTTCTGCTACCCATAAGGTTTTCAGTGGCTAAACACTCAAAAGCGGTCTACCTCTCCTTCTTCCTAGTCTGTTTTTAGTCTGGAAGTTCTACTAAAACCTGCCTGTCACAGATGACCCTGCTGGTACTTAAAATACCAGTGGCATAGCTTCCAGCTCACAGCAACATGCAAGCCACCACAACACAACAAACTGACACATGAATGGTTAAGTGGGCATACATACTCTGAACCTCACAAACATTAAGCTCTTTATGAACTGTAATGGAAAGATGTGTTCATGGTAGACCATAGGTGTTGAATGGTGTGAGTGGCCTGCCACTGCCGATGTCTAAAATCAGGGAATAAAGAGATGCATGTGTAATTATTGACTTGTCTGTGCATAACACAGCAATTTTCAGAGCATCATCTGTGGACTTCTAGGGTCCTTGAGACTCTGCAAGGAGCCTGGGTTGATCGAAACAAATTTTAATGCCAAGGTGCTATTTAGTTTGCATTGTGATGACATTTGTACCAACAGTACAAAAGCAGTGGTGGGTAAAACTACTGTTGCCTTAGCAGGAACCAAGTCAGTGGCATGAAACTGTACTAGCATTCTTCAGTGCCATCTGACTATGGTTTTTAAATATCAGTTGCAATTGAGAATGCCCTTGATGTAGCCGTAAAAGGTTGTGATTTTATACGGTCTCAGCCCTTGAAAACCCATCGTCTCTGTGATGAAATGGGGAGTGAGCCAAAGTCACTAGTTTGGCTTGCAGGAAGCACTGCATGAGGACTACGCTGAAGACTGGAAGCTTTACTGTGTGGAGCCGTCAGCTTTACCAAGCTTTGGTCATTCTGATTGGGGTATTTGACAGACATTTTGTTAGAAGTGAACCAAGGGACTTAGCCTATTTCTTGAAGGAAAACATCTGATTATTTGTTCAAATGATACAGTTTGAGCTTTCGAGCAATAATTAGAATTATGGAAAACTTGTATGCATCAGCAACAGCTTGGAAGTCTCCCTTGTTGTAAAGACTTTTCTGACCTGATATTTGGACATTATGTAATGAAATGTCAGCATTTGGGAGATCTGCAGTAAAACTTGGTGAACTTATGTGTCCCCAGTAACTAACAGTGGTACAGAGTCATTCATATACAGGTTAAAGACAGGCAGACAAAGATTACAGGGTATAATGTAACCAAGTATGGAAAGTTCATGGATTTGACTTTGCTTGCCACATAGAAGTTAACCTTTAAGTAACTACTACTTGTCAAAGAAGACTAGCCACAATTATCTGAAAAGACCATGAAAATACCCTTCCTTTTTCTGGCCACCTGTCTATGTGAGGGCCAGTTTTCTTCATGCACTTCAAGTAAGATAAGGTATTGAACAGACTGAAGGCAGAAGCAGATTTGAGGACCCAACTGCCTTCTTTGAGTAAGACATTTATAAACATGTTTTTTTAAAGAAGTGCCACTCTGCTTACTAATATTTTTTGTGAAGAATGATGATTAGTTTTCAAAAACTTAAATGGATTTAGTTTTATTATTAAATGAAAAACTAACTTTTACATTTTCCCATTAATTACTAACATGATAGCTGTCAGTACAGGTAGTCCATAAATATAACGGTTCCATTCTAGTGATTCCTTCTTACGTCATTTCTGACTTAAATAGATTACCTGTTGGTTTTTAAATTGCTTTTTATTATCGGTATCTCTATAAATCCTATTTTAGTCTTTGAAGGTTGGAAACAGTATATAAACTTACAGCTATATTTTAGCATTGTATATTACTTACAATAAGATTTACATCCCCCCTCAAAAAAAAAACCACACACAGACTACTGTAAGTATGGTTCTTCATAACTCAGATATGTTGTAAGTTGGGGACTACTGTAGATTAAAGCCTCATGAACAAAGATTATGGAATCCTCATTAATTCTTAAGAAGTTGAAGGGTTCCAACACTAGCATGTTTCAGAACTACTGTATGGACTGTCTCTGGTAGGACACATGGGGAATGGCCATCTAGATGCCTCAGTGGAGGGACTGTCCAGTGGAGTGGGGATGTGCCAGGCTACATCACCATGGAAATTGGCTCGCACCGGCACTCACTTCCGAGCCTTGCATTTCTCTCTACAGGCTGCTGACCTGGATGGGGAAATTGACTTGGCTACATGTTACAATGTCACTGAATATCCAGTCCAGAGAAACTATGGCTTTCAGATACATGTACGTACAGGGGATGGGGCTTGGAGACAGACAGACTTGGTGTGGAGTTGGGAGGACAGACACTCATTGGAGAGAGCAGGGATGTTTCTCCAGTGAGCCAGGTGTCCTACTTCCAGGAACAGCCCCGGGCACGCCACCTCCCTCCCTCCCTTCATCAGTCTTTGCCATTAGTGTTGACTCTTCTGTCCTGTTGCTTCCCTGTCCTGTGACCTCTCCACTCCTCACCCCAAGTCAGGATCAGAACCAAAAATTAGGCACAGCAGCTTTCTTCTTAGGATTATTTAAAGGCTTTTTGCTGATGAAGTTTTTTTTTGTTTGTTTTTCTTGCCTCTTTTTATTTAGTGTTAGAATTTGGGGCAATTAGAAGAATGTGAGATAAAGGGAATCAGAATGAAAATATTTATTAGTTATTTAAATCTCAGAATTGTTGTTAAGTGCTGTTGAGTTGGTTCCAACCCATGTCAACCCTGTATAGCGTTTCCAAGGAGCGGCTGATAAGCTTGAACCTCCAATCTTGTGGTTCAGACCGGCTTTGCAGTTCAGTACACTAATCCTTTACTCATTCACTCACTCACTCACTCACTCACTCACTCACTCACTCACTCACTCACTCGTCTTTGTTTTTCCCAAAATCTTGTGAGGAACTCCGTGACAGCAAGGCATCACACACACACACACACACACACACACACAGAAAGTCTGATTGGGCATGTAAAGCCTGCCCTGTGGACCTGTCATCAGTGCTGTGGGAGGGAGACTTCAGAGCCTTCTAACATGTGAGTGTAGTTGAACAAGACATCCCCTCAGGGCCAGGACTTGTCTTTCATCCGAGCCTGGTACCCTGGTGGGGTGCTTTTGTTTTAGGTGTCCCCAAACTCCATTATATCGCCATAGTCAGAGTCAATTGGGCATCATGGGACTTGCTCATAGTAACCAGACTTCAGAGGAAGCTGCCCAGCAGCTAATGAGAAACTCAGCTGCCAGACCCACAGGGCTGTTAGGCTCCTCCAGCATAGTCTCTGCCAAAAAACCATGGTTATAATCGGAGGTTGTGCTTTGACCTTGCCCCAGAAATAGAGGGGGACTGTTGTTACTGGTTAGTGGTCTCCAGCAGAGACTCCTGTTTGCCCCCTTGCCTCTGTGGGAGGAGTAGATGTGCTGTGTAATCTGGACTCTGGACTAGCCTGCCTACAGGCTCCTGACTGAGATCCCACCCTCAGTCTTGAGTAGCAGGCTTCCTTCAATGGCCAAATTGAAAACAAAAAGTAAATTGACACCAGGGCAGCTCCTAACCTGAATAGGCTACTAGTTGGTTGTTACGGGTCATTTTCTCACAATGAAGCCACAGTTGAAACATGCAGATTCCCATCAATTGCCTGAAAGCATGCCCTGTACTCGCCATCTATTCCTCACAGCGGATCCCTCCAAGCTCCACTCCCAGACAAGCCTCTCTTCCAGGTCTGACTAAAGGCTAGGATCTGAAGTGCTGAGGCCAGATAGGACAGAGACATGAGGCAGGGTGCCTTAGGAACTTGCATCCAGCAGGGAGTCCAGGTGGCTAGCAGGGAGGGAAGGCAGAGGTAGGAGCTGGTTAGGTCAGTGTAACGGTGAGAAAGAGGTAGGAAAGGTGGCTGTGAGAACCTGTGGAGGAGGAAGGCATCAGGCCATGGCCCTGACCAGGTGAGGTGCCTCACAGGAGAACAGACTTCTTCTTAGAGGAGGAGGGAGGAGCTGGAGTTGGGAAAGAGGACTCACTGGAGGTAAGAAGTGAGGGCATGGGAGAATCCGGCTAGAAACGTCCACTCCAGCAGGATAGAGCACAAGAAGCTACCCAAGTCTCTTCCCACCTTCATCTCACACAGGGAACCCAAGTTTGGAGAGAGGATGGCGGCTTCTGCAACATAGGGGTGGGGCATGCTGTGGGGGTGAGGGCACACCAGGTGGGTGAGCTCTAGTGCTTGGGCCTGTCCCAAACCATCTTCAGGACTCTGTCTTCCCACTAGCTGGTAAGCACTGGCTTGGTTCATGGATTCCTTTATAAGTAACCTAAGCAGTTGAAAGCACAAAACTGAAGCCCTCACATGTTATCCAAAGTTGTAAGTGCAAAGCAGCGAGGATGTTCCCTGCCTGCCCATCTGCCTCAGGTAGAGCCCTCAGCTGAGGGCTTCACTGCTAGTCCCTACTGTCTCTCTCCTTCTTTATCTCCTCCCCACTTACCACTAGCTGAGATGGCTTCCAAGCAGTGCTGAGTGAATCTATCTCCAAACAGATCTGTTCCCCAGCTGCACCCACCATACCCTGCCAGCCCCAGCTCACCCAGAGGCTGTTCATTCCGCCTCCTCAACTGCTCGTGAATCAGTCTCCTTCTGTGTCTCTGCTGTTACCACCTAATCCCCACCTCTAGACCAGTGCTGTAGCCACAGGATGACAAGCATGACCCAGCCTGGCCCTGTCTACTGTGCCGTCATTCACATACCAGAAACTGCTGTGCTACTGCATGGGGTCATGCCCTCACCTGTGCTCCCTGCCTAAAACATGTTTCCACCTCCATGTCCACCTGGCCACGAGGCTCAGCCCCACCCACGGGGCTCTGTTGTGAGGAGACTTCACTCACCACTGAGCTATCCCTGTCATGTCCCCTCCCACTGTGAGCCCCAAAAAGGGAGGCCACAAGAAATGAGATGCTGGGTGGTTGTGAATGAGGGACATTGTGTGCATGCGGAGCTCAGCCAGGGCCTCTGCAGGACTACCAGGACTGGAGACTGCAGTCACTTTTTGAGGAGTCATTAGTCCTACCCATCTTTTGTGCAGACAAAGGAAGGTGAATTTGCTCTCTCCGCCATGACATCGGGGATCCGGCGAAACTGGATCCAGACCATCATGAAGCATGTCCACCCAACCACTGCTCCGGATGTGACAAGGTAAGCTGGTGTGAGGCCCAGGGCTGACACCTCCTCCCTCCTCTCAGGAGCACTGACTGCTCCAGCTCCTGAGCAGCAGTTTTTGCGGAACTCCTTTTTCTGAAATTTGAGATCTCTTTCCTCCTCATCCCACACCACTGGCCCTGCTCCACTTTAGCTTCCTGGTTTTCTGCTTCCAGTTAGTATTCCCTTTTTCAGGCCCACCAGTTCTGCCATGTTAAGAGCACTGGTCCCGGTCCCAGACAGTACTTGGAAGGAGCCTACCACCCTACCTGAAGCCTGGCTTGTTGGCCCTTCATTGGGCTCTCTATTGCAGTTGGCTGGGTTGAGGTAGCCCTGGGATGTGAATATGCATAGGGCTTCAGAGCCTTTCTTTTTGCCTCACTCGTATATGCATGATTTCTGTGCAACCAGGGAGGGCTTCTCTGTGAAACTCTGGGTGCTAAAGCCCAGATGGGAAAGCGGGGTTCCTCCCATAGTAACGTTCTTGGTTCCTGTATCTCACGATTGGCTGCATGCTGCCTCCACCTGCTTATTTTCCTTTTAAAAAGAGAGAGTAAACAATTCTGATGTGCTGGCTGGTGCTGTGAAGGCCAGGCCTCTGATTGCCCAGCTTTCGGAACCGCAGCATTTTTGTGTGTTTTGAGAACCTCTGACTTACATCATCAACTTCTAAGTGCATTTGTCACATTGAGTTTAAGCTGAGCAGTGGCAGTGAGGCCAAGTCTGGGTGTGTTCACTTGCTGGTCATCCTCTCTTTCGCCACTCTGGTCCATTTTCCAAACCTTGCCCTTCATACTGACCCCAGACCACATTGAACAATAGTTAGAAAAGAAACTCTGAATTCTGCTTTTTTTCTTTTTAAATTTTATCGTGGTAAAATGTGTGACAAAGCATTTGCTATTGGAACCATTTTTAGTGTAATCAGTGACATTCCTTACATGCACCATGTTGTACAACCACCACAGCTCTTCATTTCCAAAACCGTATCACCAGAGGAGTCCTGGTGTGGCTCTGTGGGCTAATGCACCACACTGCAAAGCCGTTTCAACTGCAAGGTCGGCGGTTCAAGCTCACCAGCTGTTCCTCGGAAACCCTATACAGGGTCACTATGGGTCGGAATCGACTTGATGGCACTAAACAACAACAAACATCACCAGAAGCTCAGTCCCCATTTTCCCTTTCCTTCTACAGCTCTGGCTTTCATACCTCCCCATAGCCATTGTACAATGGGACCTGCCGGGGCACCTAGGCCTTCTCACAAAGTCCTGAGCCATTCCTTCTGGTCTGTCTTGCAGGCCAGCAGATAGTGGTTTCTCAATACAAGATTTCATCATGCTGTTTCCCTGCTTGTGCTTCCCTCTACTCACCTGTGAGAAAAGCCCACACTTTGATCCCTGCTAGGAAAGTAGCTATTTTTCATTCAGTACAGGAATGCCCCAGAGGCAGTCCGCCTCACCAAAAGTCAGAGTGGTGGTTGTGGCCAGTGCAGCTCGCAAGGGCCACAGGGTCTGAGCAGGGCTGCCGGTGACGTCACAGAGTTACCTTTCCACTTAGGGTAGCAGGGTCATGTGACACTCCCATCACAGCATCAGTCAGTCCACCTGGATCTCCTAGACGGGAACTCTCTGGACTGTCTCTGGTGGCTCCTGTCCCTTCACCTTTCCAACTCAGAACCAGGTTTGAGTGCTCTCGTGGAAGTAACAACAGGGCTCCTGACAGCTTTTAACAGTGCATGCTAGCTAGTTGTTACCAAGAGCCAGTTAACAGGTGCTGTGTCTCCTTGATCCAGCAGCTCGTTGCCAGAGGAGAAGAGCAAAAGCAGCTCCCCTGAGACTCGCCATAGGCCAAATGAAAAGCAGGAAGGCGACCTAGGAGAGCCAGACCCTGAGCAGAGACGAAGCCGTGCTCGGGAGCGGAGACGTGAGGGGCGCTCCAAGACCTTTGATTGGGCCGAGTTCCGCCCCATCCAGCAATCCTTGGCCCAGGAACGAGCCAGTGCTACAGGGTCCTGTGATGCCCAGGAGTCTGGGTGCCTCGAGGCTGACCCAGGGGAGCAGGAGCTAGAGCGGGATCGCACCCGGCGCCGGGAGGAGCGCCGCCGACGTTTCGGGGTACTCGACACTGTGGATGGGCCAGGGGTAGATGACGCTGTCTTGCGAATGGAGGTTGACCGGAGCTCAGGACTACCTGTGACTTCAGACCTCAAGACACAGAGTGTCCATGTGGAGATTGAGCAGCGTTGGCATCAGGTGGAAACCACCCCGCTTCGAGAAGAAAAACAAGTGCCCATTGCCCCACTGCACCTGGCCTCCTCCGAGGATGGAAGCGACCGGCTCCCCACACATGAGCTGACTTCTCTGCTGGAAAAGGAGGTAACAGTGAGGGTGGGTTCATTTCTGGACAGTGGTGAGTTCACTGCATTCACGTAGTTTGAGGAGGATATGCAGACAGCTAGAGAGACAGTAACATGAGCAAGTCCTTACAAAGTGAGGAGAAGGCACTGCTGAATTCAGAGCTCAAGCTAGTGGCCTGGCACCCAGCCACAGAGCTGAAACAGAACAGTTACATCGTCAGATTCAGGTTTGGGCTACATACTCGAGGTAACGTGGGTGCAACTGGCCCAGAAGGAGGCATGGCCATGAGTGGACCTTGTCAGTGGAGATGGCCCCTGTGGGTGTGGTAGGCAGGTGGGTGATTCCCTGCCACCCCCGTGAAGAAGGGGTGGGTGTCACTGGCAGCTGCTCCTGGGGTAAGGCTCCTGTCAGGGTGAATCAGCAGCCCACACACCTGTGACATGCTAAGTTCTTACATAAAATTATCCAGCAATCAAATCCAACAGACTTGAACCCTGGATGAGTCTGAGTCTGTTTCACAGGGAGCTCTGTTCTCAAGGAGCTATGCATTTTCATTGCTGTAAAATTCTATGGCACAGTCAGCAACATACTCTACATAACTAGCTAACTAAGGTCAAAGATTGTCCCCTTTGCCTTATAACATGTTTAAGTGCTTCTGTTTCACCTTTTAGTTCATTGCATAATGTCTGGGGTCTTAAGAGCTTACAAGCAGCTATCCAAAGCATAAGAACTGATTTCTGTTTACCTAGAGCCCTGGTGTGGTGCTGTGGGTTAATGCGCCAGGCTGTAAAGCCATTTGAACTGCAAGGTCGGCAGTTGAACCTCACCAGCTGCTTGCTCCTTGGAAACCCTATACAGGGTCGCTATGGGTTGGAACTAATTCGATGGCACTTCACAACAGCAACAGAGTAACATAGGAAGTAGAGTCAGGAATAGGAGGAGAATATGGAATGGAAGGTGCTCTGGTAGCGTAGTGGTTACGAATCGGGCTGCTAACCTGAAGGTCAGCAGTTCGAAACTACTAGCGGTTCCGTGGGAGAAAGATGAGGTTTTTGGCTTCCGTAAAGATTTATAGCCTCAGAAACCCTGTACAGGGTGGGTCACTATGAGTCAGAACCACCTCCTTGGCACACAGATACCACCATCGTGGAATGTGTGGCTAATTATCTTCATGAACAACTCCCTCCTTTGCCATGAGACAGAACTAGATGGTGCCCAGCTAACATTCTGATGAATTATTCCCTAAAAGGATCCTGATCCAAACGGGAGGAGTACAGAGCAGAGTCTCAAATGATCATGGACTCCAGACTTTCTGGAACCATGAGGACTGAATGAACCCCTGAAATTACTGTAAACTTTTCAGTATTCCTGAAGTCTGAAAACCAAGCAGTAATCTAGCTACACTTTTTTTTTTAAGTCTGCCTTGAGCATTGTGCTCTTTTAAAAAACTGTGTGGGTTCAAAGTGACACTAGCAACTCAAAAGATTAGATAAAAACTTGAGTGGGGCGGTGAGTTTATGGTAATGGAGGAGGAACAACTCAGAAGGGGGGTGAGAATGATCGTGTTACAATCTGGAAGAATCAATGTCACTGAGCTGTGTATGTAGAAACGGTTGAATTTCTGGATGTTTTGTGGTGTATATTCTAAACAACAGAAATTTTTTTTTACCAATTTCACATACCTAACACTTCCCATCTTTTCCCCATTTTTAAAACGTGTGAAGGCCTACACTTATCACTCATGTCAGCGTTGCCATTTTTCCATGTTCTGCTCTGGTTAATAAAATAATACAGGCAGGACACAGTGAAACAACAGCTCAGACCTGCGTGGCTCTGCTGCTGCTGGGAAGGACTATTCCAGCCAGCCAGACACTAGGGCCACTCATGGTGCAGCAGTTAAGCACTTGCCTGCTAACCTAAAAGTTGGCATTTTGAATCCACCAGCCACTTCATGTAAGAAAGAGAGTTTCTGCTCCCCAAAGATGACCGCTTTGGAAACCCTGCAGGGGCAGTTCAATTCTGCCCTCCAGGCTTGCTAGGTGTCAGAATCGGACTCAACAGAAACGGGTTTGGTTTTTCCGTTTCCAGTCCTGCCAGGTCTTAAGTGTTCATGAGCCAAGGCCCTTTGACAACAACCTCACTGCCTCTCCCTTGTCCTGTCCACTGTGGAGTCTCCAGTTCCTGACTGCCTAGGTCCCGCCCCTCACCCTCAAGCCCCCAGGAAGGGGAGGATGGATGGAAGAAGGAATTCAAAGCCATCAACTACAGGAAGAGGGAGGGTGAGTGAGAGAAGTGAGGAAGCCCTTTACAAACAGAACTTGATGTGGGAGCTTTCTTCTGATGTCGGCCCACACTTCCCCACGGAGGTACAGAAAGAATCAGACCATATGTGGACCTCCACCCAAGAGGACTTTGTTTTAAGGATTTGTGTGTGTGTGTTGAAAATATACACAACAAAACAATCACCAGTTCAACTTTTTCATGTATAGTTGCATTTTACAACTTTTCCTGTGACCTTTCCTAAATCATTCCACCACCATTAACAGAAACTCAGTGTCCCTGAGCAAACGCTGCCCTCACCCAACCCAGGTACCTCTAGTCTTTGGTTTCTACGTCTTTATTTTATGTATGTGAGATCAAACCGTATTCCTGTTAGTGACTGACTTATTTTGTTAAGCATGTTTTCAGGGTTCATCCAAGCTGTGGCATGTATTAGGACTTAGTTTTCCTTTTTGGTTGAGTTGTATTCCATCGTGTGTGTGTCACATTTTGTTCATGCAATAAATCTTTTCTTAGTGAGAGTTACCACACTAGAGACATAAGCAGGTGTGGGAATTTTGCGGGTGCCTGGGGCTGCCTGGACTAGGAAATCAGTCCTTCCCCCAGGGTAACACACATGGCCACTGTGACCTGGGTTTGAATTCTTGAGGACTAAGTCAACTCCTTTTGCCCACGTGCTGCCCCAAAGCCCAGCGAAGGATGGGTTGCTGCTGTGCATATTTTGCTGTGCTGCAGCCTTAGTTATGATTATCTTTTTGTTATAAAGATGTGTATCTTTTTACCCACAGTTGGAACAGAGCCAGAAAGAAGCCTCCGAACTCCTAGAGCAGAATCGGCTTCTCCAGGACCAGCTGCGAATGGCACTGGGCCGGGAGCAGAGTGCACGGGAGGGCTACGTGCTGCAGGTAGGGCCTGGCCACCTCTTGGTACACGGAGGCTTCAGTGTGGGTGCTTGGTAGGATAGGAATGTGCAAAACTTGGCTGAGTAGCACCTCCCCACCCACCCACCCACCCACTTCTCTAGAGGGGCTCTGTGGTGGGGGGCTTCCTGTGTGTCCTCTTCTTCCCTCCTCACACTGGGGATTCTGTGTCTGCACTGAAGGGCTTTTTGGTGCTCTGGCTCTCAGAGTACAGATATGCGTCATTACCAGGTCTTGGATAAGACTGCTGAGTAGTTTTACGATGGCAGTGTTGCCTCATTTGTAGATAGAAGCCAGTACTTGACCCTATCAGGCTGAGAACCTTGCTGAAGGCCAGCTGCAGTATTGTCAGAGCTGGGATCAGAGCCTAACACCCTAGCCATTCTGAACTGGACCTCACCTTTACATTTCTGCCCAGTTGGACTAGACCAGCTTAGAGGGTGCTGGTGAGGGAGCAGCCTCATCATGGCCACACCAGGTACCTGGCCTATAGGACCCAGGACATGCTAAGTGTCCTCAGGTATCAGGAGCACCTGGGCACTGCCTCTGCGATGAGGCGAGTCCCCATGCTGGGTGAGGAGCTAGCTGGCCCATGGGCTCTCATGCAGGGTGTCAGGACCAGAAGCACAGCTAGGGCACACAGCTTTGAGAGTTTTGGGTACCCACAGGGGTTGAGACGAATGGATCATGACTGCTGTACTTGGCTGGGCCAGGCCTCAAACACATAACCCATACAGTGCAGCGAGTAGGCCCAGCCTTGTATAGCACTGAGAAGCTGTCTGGGGCTCCCTGGAACAGAAAGGACCTGGTGCAGTGGGGCTGGCCATGGCACCTCTCTGACTGCTCCAGGCATGCTGCATGCTGGAGATGTGCAAACAAAGCTCACACTGCCTGAGTTTTGCTGACAAGGGGACAGCTGTCAGTAAGAAATGAAGAGAACGATGCTAGGGAGGATATAGAATGGGATATGTATCAGAGAACTCAGGTTATCAGGAAAGACACAGATTTGATTCAGAATCCCAGGTTCTAGTACTAGCCCTACCACTCTGCAGCCAAGGTGAGTGCACTCTGTCTGTGCCCTCCCTCGTGGCCTATGTCAGCAGAGACCTGGTGGCCAGGACTTTTTCACTCTGAGAAAGAGACCCCACATCTGTGATGAGCCTTCAGGCCCACAGGTGCTGGCCCTGCCACCCTCTATACCAGAGGTATTCCTTTTGCCCCTCTCCATGCTTGCCTTTTTGTTGTATTTTCCCTTTACTTTCCAGTTTCTCTTTCTACCCCAGTTTTGATCCTGGCCCTGGGTCCTTATCCCTCCAGCCACTTCCAACCTATTGGTTGCCATGCCCAGTGCCCTTGAGCGAGTGGTGGGGATCTGGCAGCAGACCTTGCACAATACTAGCCTGAGGGCCTGAACCCACACTGAAGCCCTGCAGCCAGCCCCGCAGCCAGCCCTGGGAAGCTGGTCTTCATCCCTGCCTAGGAAATTCAACACCTGGTTGGGTGTAACTATCCTCTGAGCTTTGGGAATGCTTGGGATCAAAAGCCTGCTATGAGTGTGGCCTTCTTGTGGAAGGCCTAGGAGGACGCCTGTGTGCAGGGTGGGCACTGTGCTGACCTGTGCTGGTGGGTGGCGTTTGCATGGTTGGGATATTGAGCATGGAGTGGGACTGACTGTAACTGAGTGTCACATCTGTGGCTTCCCTGCCGGCAGACTACCGCCACATGGCAGGCCAGGTTTTTAGGCTGGGCTCTTCCTCTCATCCTTGTCCATGTTCCCCCACCCCCACCCCCAAATTATATTAGTTCTGTCCATTCTGCATGCCTTCCCTGCCGGCAGACTACCGCCACATGGCAGGCCAGGTTTTTAGGCTGG